CCAGAGTCTGCCTTCCCAGTCACCCAGTCTTAGGACCCGCCTTTCCAGGTCAAGCCTGTGCCTCTGCACGGTTGGCCTCCTTCTGGAGTTCCAGAGAGTAGGGCTAGAACAGAGAAATGCGGGACCGTGGAGACAAAGCTCAAAAGGGGTACACAGGAGACCGATATGACCTCAAGACAAGAGGCCTGCACCCACTGCGGAGGGAATAGGCTACTAAGGTCTCTGGGACCCTGGTCACAAAGGGAAGCTGGAAACTCTTTAGCAGGCTGGGAGGGGCCTGTGCTCCTTTGGAAGACCTAACTCAGACCACGAGACTCTAAGATAATGGATTTGAGAGCAATGGAGGGCAGGTCCGCCCCCCAGGTGGGCTTAGGCAGACACAGTAGCCATGCCAGACACTGAACGGTCATGGAGACCAGTGCTGCCTGGTGGCCTTGAGTCAGGTCCGGAGTGACCAAATTCAACCCAAAAGGAGATCAAAAGATGTAGAAGAGCAGGAGAGAAGTGAAAGCAAGGCAGAGTACAATCCAGAGTGAAAGGCAGTCAGAGAGAGGAGAGAGAGAGGAGAGAGGCGGAGAGAGGGAGAGAGAGGGGGGGGAGAGAGAGAGACAGAGACAGAGACAGAGAGAGAAGAGTTGGACTGTACCTCAAAGCCTAATCAGTGGTGTTCACAGAGGCCAGTAATGGCAGCCAAGTCCAGTCAGAGTTTTTTACGTGTTATTCCCAAAAGACTGCAGGTCCTGGAGGTGCAGGTCCCAGAGGTCTTGGGCTGGTTTTGGCACCACATGATAGGTAAGTCAAGTCAAACACCAGGACAAAGAACCCCAGTGGGATACAGTTTATTGGCAGAGAAAAAGATATGGGACAGTTCCCCTTTTCAGGACAGAGGAGTTGGTTTATAGGCTGTTGGCTGGGGGTTTTTACAAGGAGTTTTAGGGGATGCAGGAGGCAGGAAAATATTTCTTTAAAAAGTTAGGCGAGAGCGAGCGAGCCCAGGGCTTATCAGGAGAGAACAACCTCTATCAAACCACCCCTTTCTGTCCCCTTCCGTCAGCCAGGATCTGGGTCATGGGACGAGGAGTCTTTACATTGTGAACTTGACAGGGGAAATAGCTTGTATTCAGACAGTTCCTACATCCATGAGTCTAGGGTGCAGAGGCCTGTTTGTCTTTTAAGATTATCAAAGAGGAAGCAGACTGGGCTGAAACAGCTTTTTGCAGTAATCAGGTCTTGGGTCAAAAGGTGTAGACAGTCTGTTTATCTTGTCTGCAGATGGTTAGGGTGCTCATTAACTCAGTTCCTGCATTCTCAGGGGGCTTGCAAAACCTTGAGGCCCTGCTGCATTGGGGAGGGGGTTGCTGTCAATCCAAACCCTGACACTACCTTGGCTTCCCTTGATGAAACTGTAAGCTGTGAGCCAAATAGACCCTTTCCCTGCAAGTTGATGTTGGTGTTTTTATCACAGCAACAGAAAAGCCAACTAAGACAGAAACTGGTATGGAGTGGGGTGTTGCTGTGAGACAGACCTGATCACATTGTTTGGGGGAGGACTGTGTAAGCCTTTGGAACTTTGGGCTAGAAAAGCCATTCAGTGTTCAGATCTTAGTGAGCTGTTGCTGTGGAGCTTGGCACAGTTATGTTGAAAGAGAAGATGGAAGCCTGGCTTGTGAAGATTCAAAGGGAAGCAAAGACTCTGTAAGGGCTGTTTGTGTGGAACAAAGAATTTTTAGAAGTGAAACCTTTTGTGCTTTACTGGAACAAGTGATGCTCGTTAGCTAGGGCTGAAAATCAGCTCTAACATGAGACTAGCATCGTCAAGGTAAATCATCTGGGAAGTATTTCCTCTGCCTCAGCACACAGCTGTGGTCTAGAGGGGGCCAAGACTGCACATCAAACTAGCAGCAGAACCTAGCAATGTGTAAGAGTCTCCCAGTGGTACTGGTTTTAAGGAATGAGGGGGTCATGGAGAGCAGCTGAGGCTTGGCCCTGTGAGGAGACAGAAGCCAGTGATGAAGGTACAGGCTGTTTCAGCAGAGGCCCTGGCATATTGGAGATGCCAGAGCCATGGGCGACAACCAAGGCCAGCAGTGGGTTACTGAGTGGTACTAGCCTGCATCTATGAGCCAAGCTGTGTGTGCTGTACTTTGCTTTTGCTTAAGTGTGTCTGATTTTCCCTTTTGTCTGGGATTTTACAAAAGCCCACAGTAAGAGGTGGTTTTTTTTTTTTTTTTGTCTTTTTTGAGATGGAATCTCCCTGTAGCCCCAGCTGGCCTGGAATTTACTATGTAGACCAGGCTGGTCTTGAACTCACAGAGATCTGTCTGCCTCCACCTCTCGAGTGCTGGGATTAAAGGCATATGCCACCACACCTGGCTAGTAAGAGACTTTTTAAAAAACAGACTCTGAACTTTTTCTTTTTGAGACAGGGTCTCCCTGTAGCCCCAGCTGTCCTGGAACTCACTATGTAGACCAGGCTGGCCTTGAACTCACAGAGATCTGCCTGCCTCTGAGTGCTGTGATTAAAGGCATGTGCCACCATGCCTGGCTTAATTTTAAAAAAATTTATTATTTTTATGTGTATGTGTGTATTGCCTGCATGTAGGTGAGTGCACCCATGTCATGCAATGCCCACGGAGGTCAGAAGAGGTGGTCAGATCCCCTGGAACTGGAGTTATGGACAGTTAGCTGCCATGTGGGTGCTGGGATTTGAACCCAGGTCTTCTGCAAGAACAACCAGTGTTCTTAACCACTGAGCCATCTCTCCAGCACTGAACTTTTAATTTTTAAAGAGTATGGGACTTTTAAAGTTATGGGTTTATGTTGTAATATTGATATGAGAGCTTAGGTCTAGGAAATGGAAAGGTGGTGATTTAATAGTGATGTGTTTGTGTGTCGAGTTGACAAGGGGTCAACTGTGCTGGATAACTTCAGTTGTCAACTTCACACACCTGGGTAGCAGGAACCTCAGTTGAGGAATTTCCTCAAATGAACTGGCCTGTGGCTATGTTGGTGGAACGTTTTCTTGACTGCTGAGTGATGTGGGAGGGTGCAGACCACTGTGGGTTGTGCCACCCCTGGACAGGTGGTCCTTTGTTGTATAAGAAACCAGATTGAGCATGGGTGAGAGGAGGCCAGTAAGCAGTGTGCCTCATGGTCTGCACACCAGGTTCTGGCCCTGAATTCCTGTCTTGGCTTACCTTGATGATAGACTGTGAGCTGTAAGCCAAATAAACTCTTTCCTCCCCAAGTTGGTTGTGGTCAGTGTTTTTATCACAGCAACAGAAGCTAATTAAGACACTCCCCTACCACCAGTGCACTAGAAATCCAATGGATCTGATGCTCTAGAATGCCCTCATATCAAGACCTTAGACTTGACCTTGACAGAGGCTTTGAGAGAAGTATCATCAGCACAGGAAGGGGAAGTGGACCTCCCTTATGATGGACCTGAAGGAGGCTTGCCTACGGGATATCCTGGAGGCCCCCTGTGCTCTGCTTACAGTGAGGGTATTGCCCACTACTCACCCACAGCAGCCCTTATCATACCTAGGTGTCCAGGTCCAGATGTTAGCCTGAAGGATGCTATTGTGGAGAGGGGGAGGGCCTAGCCACAGCAACTATAGCAGGAAGCCCCTGGGGGCAAATGCACTAGCACACCTGGCTGGGCAGGTAGGAACCTGGATGTGCTGAGGCCGCCTGGCAGGCAAGGCTTTACTCCAGGGCCTGACTCTAGGCAATGTGATGGGGCCTCGGGTGCTTACCACTGACCACAGAGGGAGACCAGGGGAACCCTGTCTAGGAATGTCAGAGCCAGATGTACCTCCTGGCCAACCACTGCCTCTCTGTCACACCTGACTATGGAGGCCAGAGTGCTGAACTCCACGTGGACCATGAGCACTCCCCCAGGCTCACCCACGCTGGAAACTAGAGGTTCTGTTCACCCATAAACATACCACCCATGGGTACACTGTACACAACAACTTTGCTGCTGGTGTCAGGGCTGAGCTTCGGCTCCCTCATCCACGAGCAACAGTGGCTAAGCACACTAGGCAACCACCCCAGCTTCGTCAGCAAGCCTCTGGATGGCTCTGCCACTTCAAGTGTCGTAGGAGGCAGTAGCATACCAGTGGGACAGTGTATGCAGGTGAACTCTGGCTATGTGGCTCCTGCAGCTTCTGAGGTTCACGTCCAGGGATGCGTTCTTGTGGGGGATGGGACAGGCTACAGTCCCAGAAGCCCCTCCCTGTGGTCGTCCAGGCCTGTGATCACCCAGGCCTGTGGTCTGATCTCAGGCTTGCGAGTCTCCAAGCACCCTGTCAGACTGCGCCGAACTCTGGGCTCCAGGCCCCATGCAGCTCCTTGCTCACTCCCATGGGGTAACAACTTAACGAACAATCCCTTCACATACAGGTCGACCTGCCTCCCAGGCAATGTGGACTTTCCTCACTAAACCCAACGTCGCATCCCAGAGGCGACCTCAACTCAGGAAGTGACAGCCCACGCTCTGGAGCGCACTAAAAGCCAGGAACCCTGGCCACCTTCCGCCGAGGAACGCCCCCGCCCCCGCCATCATGCGACCCGCCTACTCTGTGACCGCCCGCGTGCCCTCACCGAGTGGGCCCGCCGGGTCTTTGCTCCGGGGCACACCGAGCACAGTTCGTTCAGCTGGCAGAGGCGCAAGACGCAAACCCTCGCCGCCAACCCGTTCGCCTTAAGTTACTGCGGGCCAAGACCACGGGGCCTCCCGGAGCAGCTGAGCCCCACCCTCTGCTCTCGCGCATGCGCATCCCGCTCCCCAAGGCAGCCCAGCCCCGCCCTGTGCCCCTCGGCAGGTGCATCCTGTTCCCCCGAAGCAGGCAAGCCCGCCCTCCGTCCCTGGCTCGGGCACGTCTCGCTCCCTGTCGCGATGAGCCCTGGCGTCCACCAATCGCGCAGGCGCGTCGCGTTCCCTGCAGCAGGCAAGCTCCGGCCCCTGCCCCTCGCGCATGCGCATTCCACCCCGATGGGAGGCGCGCCTGTGCCCCTCGCGAACGCGCATCCCGCTCCCCGTCGCAGCCGCGCCTCTGGCAGCCGCGCCTCCGCGCCCTCTGCCCCTCGCGCACGCGCGTCGCGCCCCTCCGTGTGACAGAGAGCCGGGTCAGCGGCCATGGCGTCCGAGCGCCTGCCCAGCCGGCCCGCATGTCTCCTCGTGGCCAGCGGCGCCGCGGAAGGTGAGGTGCCCTGGGCGGCTGTCCGGCGCAGCGAGTGGGGGCCCTTGGACCCTGCACGTCCCCGGGGCGGGCCCGTTGGGACTCGGCGCTGGCCTGGGGCGACTGCGGAGAGGACCCGCCCTGCCGCCGGGTCCGCCTTGGGGGCCCAGACTGCCGTCGTTCCTGCCCCTGCGTCCCCCTGGTCCTGGGCCGCACCTCACGCTTCCGGGAAGGGGTTCCCACGGAAGGGGGTCTGCTGGCCTTTCGTTGGGTCCCAACCGCCTGCTGTGTATCTGGGGGGCGGGGCTCAGCCCAGGTTGACTTTACCGGCCCGACATCATCACGGTGGGGTGGTAGAGCGAGGGCCACCTCGGGATTTGTACCTTGTACCTTGAGAGAGTTGGGGAGTGCGGGGTGGAAGAACCGGTGGGGATAGTCTGGGAGGGGTTGAAGAGATTGTCTTGCCATGCTATGTGAACATCATCCACTAAAAACGTATTAACTCATAAGAATGAATGAAGAAGGGGCTGGAAAAATAGCTCAGCGGTTAAGAGCTCTGGCTGCTCTTGCAGAGGACCGGTGGCTCACAACCGTCTTTAACTCCAGTTCAAGGGGTGATCCCATACTCTCTTCTAACCCCACGAGCATTGCATGACATGGGTGCGCTTAACATACATGCAGACAATACACTCGTACACAAAAAATAATAAATAGAATATTTTTTTAAAAATGAGTAGTCAGACGTGGTGGCTGGTGGCGCATGCCTTTAATCCCAGCACTTGGGAGGCAGAGGCAGGCGGATCTCTGTGAGTTCGAGGTCAGCCTGGTCTACATAGCGAGTTCCGGGCCAGCTGGAGCTACAGGGAGTCCCTGTCTCAAAAGAAAGAAAAACAAAACAACCAAAAGCAGTGCTGGGGTGGGGGAGGTGCGTGCCTTTGACCCGGTGTTCTGGTCTACATAGCAAGTTTCAGGCCAGGTGGGGCTACAGAAAGGCCCTGTCTAAAAAGAAAGAAAAAAATTAATAAATAAATATGAAGCTAGGGAGTTGCATCCTCAGATTGACCCAGTACAGGCATCACTGCACTTGAGGTGATGTGGGTCCCTGCTCCCTGAGGGCAGTAAGGTTGTGCCCAACCTACAGTGGCCTGGAGTCCTCTGAACTGTGCAAGCTTTATTTTAATTTTTTAATTTTATTTTTTGGTCTTTTTGAGGCAGGGTCTCTCCTTTTAAGTAATCCAGGTGGGGGTTGCATCCTTTGTTGGTCTGGTTCTGTGAAGACCAGGCTGGCTTCAAACTCAGAGATCCACTTGCCTCTGCCTCTAAGTCCTGGGATTAAAGGTGTGTACCAACACACCTTGCTTGAAGAGTTTTTTAATGGCAGAAGGGAGCAGGGAATAACCTAAAGGGGGTAGAATCCCATATCCTTGGGAGGATGGGGTCCCTGAGTGTCCTGGGTATGAAGAGTACTCGGGACACTATGCCCTCCTGTTGCCTGTACGTTGTAGGGTGCTTACTACTGCTGCCTTTCCCTGGCCATGGATGCCTTGGATCCTGGTGATTCTGTAAGGGATGAGCTGAATGTTTGCCTTTGGAAATACCTGTTGTAGATCAGAGTGGGATGAAGTCAGAGGTGTGGGCATGTTGCTGGACAGTTAAGGTGGGCAGGGGGCCTGAAGGTAGAGGTACCAGGTCAAGGGGAGAGCCTGCCCTGGGTGCTGCAGAGTCATGGGAGCACCTGTAGGGCTTTCTGGGGCCAGTGGCCAGTGGCCAGGGCTGGCTGAGTGTAGACATGCTGTGTCCTCTGAGCATGTCCTTAATTCCACATTTCTGACCTTGAAGTGCTGCTGTCCTGTCCCAGGGGGGTAGGCCCAAGTAGGTGAGATGGAGTAGGCCCAAGTAGGTGAGGTGGACTGCTCCTAACTGCTGGAGCCAGGGCAGTCCCAGGGTCACTGGAACAGTCTCCAAGGAGTAGGGGTTGCTCAGCTAGCTCTGTCATGCCCATACCTCTCTGGGACCATCTGTTGTAGGTGTGTCAGCTCAGTCCTTCTTCCACTGCTTCACACTGGCCAGCTCTGCCTCCAACCTACAGGTGGCCACTCCTGGGGTAAGTGTAGTCACCCTTCTCTAGAGAACACTTGAGGCCCTCTCCTATTCGGGTTGAGACTAGCCGAGTATGGGGGCGTTGATGTGACCAGGAGGAGCTGCATCAGAGTGAGGTCATCTACAGCCAAACTTAGTGGCATGGTCCTGGTTCCAGTTCCCTGGATTCTGACTACCTGTGGTAAGAGATCTTTTCACTGTGGCTTGCACTTTTGCAGGCCTTTGAGTGGAAGGTGAGACTTGGCCCTAGTGTGGGGGGCCTGCACAGATACTTCTACTACGGGAGATTCTGATTCTTTGTAGACCCCAGGGACGTCACATTGATCACAGCAAGTGTACATTGTGTATCTGTGATTTTGCATGTTTTGAAGTCACAAGTTGGGCGAGACAGTTGTTGCCACTTTATAATTAGGAGACCGGGGACCAGGAGGGAGCAGGGGAGCAGGGTAGGATGACTCCATGGCAAGACCTCAGAGTTGGGTTGTGTTGGGCCCCACATAACTGGGGGTTTGATTCTCTGGAGCTCTCCCTATATAGTCACTGGAGGCCCCCTGCTTGGGCCAGCCAGAAAAGCCGACTGTTGGTTGTGCCTTGGGGTGTTTCACATCTCTATTTCCAAGTTTCCTGTGAGCCAAAGGTGGGAGGGAGAAGATCCCAGAACTCATCCTAGGCCTCTGGGCTCTGGTTCTACAGGGGAAGGCAATGGATTTTGTGGATGTGACTGAGAACAATGCACGTTGGATACAAGACTTCCGCCTTAAGGCTTATGCCAGCCCTGCTAAGCTCGAGTCCATAGACGGTAGGTTGGACCCTGCTGGGCAGATGCTTCTCCCCCTGGGCAAGTAACTAAGACCTAGTATAGTCAGTTACAGGTGGGGTTGGGGGGCGGTCTCTGAAGCAGCCCTGGGGCTTGCTAAGCAGCACTGTGACTGGAGCCTCTGGTCCATATCCTGGGCCCCAGCATTCTTGAGATCCTGGCTGGGGAGCTGTGGGCAGAGAGTCTGTAATCAGGCTGGTGTACAAGAACACGAGGCTCAGAAGTTGGAACCCATGTTGGGGAAGTGACATTTGGTACCATCTGGCCAGTGGCTCCCTATGGAGGAATCCCATGTCCTAGCCATGTCCTTGTGACTGACCTGGGGTCTCCCCTGCAGGTGCCCGGTACCACGCCCTCCTGATTCCCAGCTGTCCTGGTGCCCTGACCGACCTGGCCAGCAGTGGGTCCCTGGCTCGCATACTGCAACACTTCCACTCTGAGAGCAGTGGGTGACAAGAAACTGGAGGACAGGCTGGCAGGCAGATGCCTGGGTGGGGGTAGGAGGGAGCGACCAAACCAGTGGGTCACAGGGAGCTAGAGGCCAGGCTCGGGGCAGATGGGAGTGGCTGGTGAGGACAGGGATCAGAGTTGATAGCTGGATATACCGGGTCGTTTCACCAGATAGAGATGGAGAGCCACAGTGACTCTGACCCACAAGCAGATGTTTGCTCTGTGTCCACGTGCACAACACACTGATCCACTAAACAAAATTTGCAGTCAGTCACTGCATCCCAGGCTCAGAGGGAGCTGGTGGCCATGCCCTCTTAGCCCTTTCCATGGTGGGCTAGGTGGGGTGCTGTCTGGATTCCTGGTGGAAATGGGCGATCTGTTGTGATGAGCTCATCTGCAGGCTGGGGCAGGGTGCTCATCAGAGACCAGTATACAGACAGGCTGGGCTCACACATCCCTTGTTGGTGAGGGCTGGTTTCTGCTCCTGCAGCAGTTGTCCCAGCCACCTCAGCTCTGGAAATGCATTGATCAAGTAGCCTTTGAGGAGGAGCCAGGGCAGCCCCACTGCAGGGTAGGCTAGCCCCGGGACAACCCCAGCTCACAGTGGCTTCCTCTCTGCAGTTTGAGGCAGTGGCTGGTACATGAACTTGGAGGTCTGTGTGCTTGCATGTGTGTCTCAAAACCGAGGTAGCATGGGCTCTAAGTAAATCTAGTCTTGAAGCATCCACCTTGGGTGAGGGGCGGACGCTACCCGGTTGGTGTCCAGGGTCTCAGACTGCCTTGCTCCTTTCAGAGCCCATCTGTGCCATTGGCCATGGTGTTGCTGCCCTGTGCTGTGCCACCAGTGAGGACAGGTCCTGGGTATTCCAGGGCTACAGTCTGACAGGGGTGAGTGCTGCATGGGCAAGCCAGTGCCCCACCATGTCCTGTTTCCCTCCACCACCCATACCAGGAGGAATTCCTGCAGGCACCATGACCTGCTATTCCTGATGCTGTCTGAGCTACTTCCTCCTTGTCCCTTGTGATGGGTACCGGCACATGGAAGGAGGCAGGGACAGGCTGGGGCCTCTCAAGTGAGGGTGATCCATACCTACATAGAAGTCATGGAACCCACCAAAGGCTCCCTCAAGATGCCAGTCCATCTCATTCTGATCACATATGTGCCCTGACGTTGGGGGAGCCCAGCACTCTAAGCCATAGTGGTCTGTTCCCGAAAAGATGACTTAAGGCTTGCCTGTGTCCAGGGCCTCCTGTGTCCTTTGTCTCCCTCATGTGGTATCTGAGGCTGCTGCTCTAATCTGACCCATCTGGACCCTGGAGTTGGTCTTGAGGGCAGAAGGGCATTGGCAGGGTGGCTGGTCTGACCCAGCCCCCTCTCCCACCCCCGCAGCCTTCTGTGTATGAGCTTGTCAGGGCACCTGGCTTTGCCCGCCTGCCGCTGGTCGTCGAAGACTTTGTGAAGGACTCTGGTGCTGGTTTCAGTGGTGAGCCCCAAATGGTGCCCCTATACCTAAATGGATCAGGCTGCCTGCTATGTTGAAGGATCAGCCCAATGGCCAGGGGTCCCCCTATAGACCCCCATGGCCAGCAGCTTACCCAGGCAGGTTCTCCTGCTGTCCACTGGAACATAAATCATATACACCACCCCCCAACCCCCTTGCTCACAGGCTTCTCAGTGGGTGGGAGTGGGTTTGCGTTTGGGTTTGGGGCTGGGCCTTGTATGCCTAGGGCTCGTGCCTTCTTTCTTAGCCAGTGAGCCTGACGCCGTACATGTGGTGCTGGACCGCCACCTGGTGACCGGGCAGAATGCCAACTCCACTGTTCCTGCTGTCCAGAATCTGCTCTTCCTCTGCGGCAGCCGGTGAGGCTCCAGGAAGGGGTTTGGGTAGATTGCTGCTTCGAGACTGGCTCCCTCTGCTGGGCAATGTTGGAGATGCTCTGCACGCTAGTGCTGAGCCTGGACCTCATGTTCATCCCATAGGAAGTAAATCTACACCTGGATGCTATCCCCTCAACGATTCAGGTGGCCTAGAGGCAGCAGCTGGACTCGCCCTGGCCTCTTCTGCCAGCCCCCAAAGACCATGCTAGTCCTCACTTGACGAGGGGCCCCCATCTGGACCCTGTGGCATGCTGGAGGCCTGTATGAATTAGACCTCTGGAGTATCAGCTCCAACACAGGGACTGATCACTACTTTTCTCAAAGCCCAGTACACAGTATAGGGTGTGGAGGGTCTCAGCTAGCCAGGTAGTTTGAGAATTCCAAGTTGAACATTCCAGGAAGAGTGGTCCATGGGAGGGACCCCATCTGTAGAATCTTAGGATGGGGCGTTTCCCCTCTGTGGCCTTTTGGCTGCTCCCATTCCTTTAAGTGTTGGTGGGAACCATGGGGAAGGGGCCAGCAGGCTAGGGTGCTCTGAACTCACCCAGCTGAAAGTGAATCATAGCTGTTACTGTGACCCCAAACTGGCAGCACTCCTGCTGAAGTGCTCCCTTGTTTGACCCTTGTTGGCCTGTGCTTGGCATGATCCTGGGCCCTTGGTGTGGACAGTGATGTCACCCTGCCCCATATGACATGGGAAAAAATACATCAGTGAATGTCACACTGTAAGATCCTGTGTTCCCCACAGCCTGCCCAGTGGCTTCTGGCCTATATAATCCAAAGTATTTCATATACTTCTAGAAGGAATGCTGCAGGTGGGCTTGAACTGTATGGAGAGGTAGCCATGAGTTCTTTCTCCTAGACCCTGACAGGCTTTTGTTGGGTACTGGTTGAAGCCATATGGCCATCTCCCTCCTGGACATGCTTGTTTGCTTTCAATCCTGGGACATGTGGCCTGGACTGTAGCCTCCAGGGACCAGCCTGCTAGCCTGAACTAGAATATCTCAAACTTGGACCTCTCAACTCCCACCTCCATTTGAACATTTCACAACCCAGCTCCAAGATGGTACCAGTCCATGCCTGGCAGTGCCAGTGATCAGGTGGAAGGCTTTTTGGTGGTTAAAAAGCTTTAATGAGAACACTTATGGTAACTTAATCTCATTAGTTGGGAGGCAGAGGCAGGTGGATCTGAGTCTAATGCCAGTCTGGTCTGTATAGCAAGTTCTAGGCCAGCCAGGGCTATATAGTCAAACAACAAAAACATTACCTTTCATGAGGAAAACACAAAACAAAAGGCAGGTCAGCCCACCTGAGTCTGGACCCCCCCCCCCTGGCCTTACACCATCCCCATCTGCTCTGAATATGGTCAATGAACGTCCCTCAACAGAACTTTAAAAATCTGATAAAGGCTTCCTGGCTCAGATGCCCCTCTGTGCCTTACCTGATGGGAGGGGATACTCTCTGGGGCCTCTTCTGAAGTCACTGATCCCTTCCTAGAGCCAGTGCCCCACCTAACACATCACCTTGGAGGTGAGGTTTCAGTATGAGTTAGGGGGCACCTTTATATCTGGGAGATGTCATACTGATGGGGTTTGAGAGCTGATTGGCTGGCTCTACAGGAGCTCTGTGTTCTGCACTGAGGCACATGGGTAGGACCAGGTGAAGTGGGTTATGACTGAGCCGGGCCTCTGGCTCCATGGGTCTTGCCACTGCCCAGTACTCAGTGGAGGAGGGGGACAGCAAGCTGGAGAACAGAATGAACAAATCCCCAGGAGTGGCAGCTGAGGAGGTAAGGTTTTTCTCACGTGCTCAGGGTGTGTTCACAAGCACGTTGATAATCTACCCAAGAGAAAGCTACACAGGTGTTCATGGTTAAATTATTCATGATGAAAAATGAAATGGCCCACAAGATGGCTTATCCAGTCTGTGCCACACAAGTTTGACCCCCAGACCCACAGTGGAAGAACAAGCTAGTTTTCCTCTGATCTTCACATGTATGCTATGGATGTATGCATCCACCCTCACATGTACATCATATAAAGTTGTTTTTCTTTTTGGTCTTTTTGACACTGCTCCATTTGGCCTGGAATTTACTATATAGGTCAGGCTGGCCTGGATCTCAAGTGCCAGGATTAAAGGTATGCACCACCATGCCTGGAAAACCAGTGGCTTCACAGTGCAACACACCAGTTCAATGATTCCTAGTATAACAAGGTTGGACTTTGGCACATCAAGCCTTGTTGATTGCTTTTATGAAATACCGAGAAAACACAATTCAGGAGTAGGTCTGTAGGCAGGAAAGGTAGGAATGTTACAAAGTTAGGAGTGTGCAGCTATACTGGGGTCATTCAAGCTTACATTGGCATGTGTCTTGTGTATGCTCACACCACTGCTGGAGGTTTGTGGGAGTCCCAGGAGCCTGTAGGACTGTTTTGGTTTGGTCTGTACCTCCTCCCTGGCTCTTACAATCTTTCTGCCCTGCCCCCTCTTTTGCAATGAGCCCTGAGTGGGTAGATTTTAATATAGGAGTCCTGTGCAAGGACCCACACTCTGCAGACTCCTAGTCTGTGTTTTGGACATTTGTGACCTTTTGTGTTCCTGGCCCCTCTGCTGCATGAGGGAGCTTCAGTGATGAGAGCTGAGCGATGCATTCATGTTCTCTTATTCCTGTGGCCGCTTCCATTTTAACAGGGTCACTAGTCCTGGTTAGACTGGAACCAAGTAGACCAGGCTGTCCCTAAACACTGCTGCTGCTGCCTCCCAAGAGTGCTGGGACTCTAGGCATATGCCTCCAACACCCTTTCAAAGCTGGTGGGTTTTTAAAATTTTTTAATTTTTTATTATTTTTATGTGTATGAATGTATTGCCTGCATGTAAGCGCACCGTGTGTCGTGCAATGCTGTGGAGGTCAGAAGAGGGCTTCAGATTTCCCTGGAACTAGAGTTAAGGATGGTTTGTAGCCACCATGTGGATGCTGGGAATTGAACCCGGGTCCTCTGCAAGAGCGATCAGTGTTCTTAACCGCTAAGCTATCTCTCCAGCCCCTTAATATTTGTGTGTATTGCCTGCATGTAGGTAAGTGCACCCATGTCGTGCAATGCCCACGGAAGACAGAAGAGACTGTTGGATCCCCTGGAACTGGAGTTATGGACAGTTGGTAGCTGCCATGTGGGTGCTGGGATTCCAACCTGGGTCTTCTGCAAGAACAGCCAGTGTTCTTAACCTCTGAGCCATCTCTCCAGCCCCTATTTTTAAAAAATTTTTAAATTTATTTTTGTCTTTTTGAGACAGGGTCTCCCTGTAGCCCCAGCTGTCCTGGAAGTCACTATGTAGACCAGGCTGGTCTTGAACTCCCAAAGGTCCGCCTGCCTCTGCCTCCCAAGTGCTGGGATTAAAGGCGTATGCCACCATACCCTATTTATGTGTATGTGTGTACTTTTTTATTTTTATTTTATGTGTATCCGCGTACTGCCTGCATGTAGGTAAGCGTACCTGTGTTGTGCAATGCCTGAGGAGGACACAAGAGGCTGTCAGATCCCCTGGGATTAGAGTTACGGACAGTTGTTAGCTGCCATGTGGGTGCTGGGATTTGAACCTGGGTCTTCTGCAAAAACAACCAGTATTCTTAACCGCTGAGCCATCTCTCTAGCCTCGTTTTTTATTTTTTACATGTATGAGTGTTATGCTTGTATGTAAGTGCACCTGTATCATGCAGTGCCCATGGAGGTCAGTAAAGGACATCAGATCCCCTGGAACTGGAGTTACAGATGATCATTAGCTGCATTGTGGGTGCAGGCCATCAAACCCGGGTCCTCTGCAAGAACAGCTAGCGCTCTTAACCACTGAGTAATCCCTCCAGCCCCTCAAAGCTGGAGTTTTATACTGAGCTGACCCACAAGATGGCGCTACTGACCCTTAGAACTTGGGCACACCAAGCTGAGCACATGCATGAGTGAACTAAGCCTTGCTGGGGCTGCTCTCTTGGGTCTCGGGCAGTAGGCAGGCTCTGTATCATGTTTAGCTGTGGCCTCCCCAGGAGTAGGGTCCACCATATGTCCTCCAATTCTGTATGTATGGCCTAGGGCACAGGGACCAGGTACAGAGGGAGCAGAGAAATAAAGTCCCATCTTCAAAGTGAAAGGCTGTTTGTTACCTGAGTTCCCAGTTGTGGCTCAGGCGATGGGGGTCCTGGGGCAAGGGCCACAACGAGCCAGATCACGCTAATGGCCTGGAGTTCATCTCCTAGTCCCAGGCTACACGGGGAGAGTAGGTGCTTAGGTGGATAGGGATGGAGATGGCAAAATGAAACATAGGAAAAGCAACTGCTTTAATGAATTAGGCAAAATTTCACGTAATCAGGGAAAATGACATAAAATCAGAAACCTGTGATCCATCCCTGCTCCAACTGCTAAAAAACATAAGATCCATCACAAGCCATATGCAGTTAGGCCCCAGATCAAAGGCAGTGCAGGTCCTGGAGTCTAGCTCAGGCGTTGCACTACTTCCCATTCTCTGCGCTGAACATTCGTTCCTAGAAAGGAGCAGAGCCCGAGTCATGCCAGCCCTGCACCCTGCCAGGGCTGCAGTGCCTGGAGGGCCCCAGCCAAGACCCAGCATGGCCTCGGCAGACTCCTGAATGAGAGGTGACTGGACCTAGGGTCCCCACAGAAACATTTCTCATTAAAAAAATTGACTATATTTTATGTGTGTATTGCCTGCAAGTTTGTGTGTTGTGAAATGCCCACAGAGGTCAGAAGAGGCTGTCAGATCCCCTAGAACTGGAGTTATGGTCGGTTGTTACCCACCATGTAGGTGTTGGAACTACAATCCTCTACAAGGGCAGCCAGAGTTCCTAAGTGCTGAGTCATCTCTCCAGCTCTATTTTTCATTCATTCTTCCAAAAGTTTGTGTATGTGTGTGCATGCATACGCATGTGCCATGGCACATGTGTAGAGGCCAAAGGATAACCTGTAGAAGTTGGTTCCCTCCTACCACACGGGTCCCAGCAAGGTGAACTCAGGTCATCAGCTTTGGTGGCAACCAGCTTTGCCTGCTGGGCTATTCTGCCAGCCCCTTGTGTAGTTTTAGACAGGGTCTCACTGTGTAGCCCAGACTAGTCTTGAATTTGTGATTCTCCTGCCCTACCCTTCCAAGTGCTGACATTATAATGTGCCACTGTGCTTGGCTCCCACAATGTTTCAACTCTGCCTCAACTTTAATGATGCTCAGGCCCAAGGCTGCTCACACAGGAACTCACCGTCAGCATCCGCTCTAACTTTATGGCATCAGCAGCAAACTTGCGGATTCCATCAGAGAGCTTTTCCACGGCCATCTGGTCCTCGTTGTGCAGCCAACGGAAGGCCTTCTCATCCAGATGTATCTTCTCCAAGTCACTGGCCTGGGCTGGGGGACACCACAACCCTCCATGCCTGCCTGACCCTTGGACTCTCAGCTGCTCTCAGGCTCGGCCAGGCCTCAGCTCCCACCCACACAGCGGTCCTAGCTGTGCCCCTCGGTCTTACCTGCCTTGATGGAGAGCACAGGTGTCAACTTGGTGTTGTCTTTGAGCAGCTCCCCCAGGAGCTTCGGTGAGATGGTGAGGAAGTCACAGCCTGCCAGAGCTTTAATCTCACCCGTGTTGCGGAAGGAGGCACCCATGACAATGGTCTTATAGTCAAACTTCTTGTAGTAGTTGTAGATTTTGGTGACACTCTTTACCCCTGGAGGAGACCTAGGCATGTTCCAGGATGGCCCTGGAGCTGCCCTGAGCCGCTGTCTGACCCCACCCTGACCTGTGCCTCAGCCTTGTTCTGGCGGTACACAGGGTACCTCACACTGCCTGTCAACGCAGCAGTTCCCCTGCCCCAAGAACTTAAAGGGCAGCTCACCAGGGTCCTCCTGGGGCTCGTAGGATTTCTTATCCGTGTTTGCTACATGCCAGTCAAGAATACGTCCCACAAAGGGGGAGATGAGCGTCACGCCTGCCTCAGCGCAGGCCACTGCCTGGGCGAAGGAGAAGAGCAGCGTCATGTTGCAGTGGATGCCGTGCTGCTCCTCTAGCTCCCTGCAGACAGGACAGGCAGGGCACAGCTGAGTGTGGCCTCAGGCTGAGCTCCCACATGAACAGCAGGGGTGGGGACAGGGCTTCCGTTGGCTCAGCAGAGCTGGATCTGGACAAAGGGTGACCAGGGTTTCCTTCATCACATCCACGCTACAAAATCAGGCAAAGGCAACAGAGGTCCTAAGTGCCCACATGCCTGCTCCAGCACTGGAACAAGGGCGCCTCATCAGCTCCCAGGGGCTCTATGTTCAGGCTAGAGTCAGCCTGTCACCACTAATAGCAGCTAGGACTTAGCCCTTCCTGGTGCAATCCTGCAGCAAGTCTAGAGCCTCTCCTGAGAAAAACCTTGGCACATTGGGCCCTTGCCCAATACACACCCCCAGGTAGCACTCTTATCACGTGGCCAGGGTAAGGGCTAGGACAGCCAAGCTTCTGTTTAGGCTGCTTTAGCCACAAGTTCTCTCCCCAGAGCCCAGCCTCAGAGGTGCCTCAACCACAAGTGCAGTTCATACTGTGCTCAGCCAAAGGGGAGACTCTCTTTCAGTGACTGTGACCCAGCAACCCACCCTCTCTGCACCTGCTCACGAGAAGGAAAACATGTCTACCACAAAACACATACGCTTATGTTGACAGCATTACTCTCAACAGCCCCAAAGTGGCAACAGACCATGTCCCCAACCAGATGAATGCAAGGACATGGTCTACTCACCAGCGGTGTACTGTCTAGCCAGAAGACAAAGCACAGATACACACTAGAACTTAATGAACTCAGGACTGTGTTGAATGAGAGACGCCATACTGAAGAGCCGCCATGGGTCTGCTTCTGCTACTGTGAGGCATCCAGAACAGGCGACTCCAGAGAGAAGGGAAACAGCAGTTCCAGGTAGGGCAAGGGTACAGTGGGGGAGAGCAACATGGGCAGAGCAGAAGTGAATGTCTCCCACTCCCCAGTCACTGGAACCAGCACGGCCAGGACTGGCTACTCAGGGCTAGGCATCACCAGAGTTTTACTCTGTTTTTGCATTTTGCATTCTCTTCCACCCAGAGCATATGATTTGCATGACAATTAGTTTCTTTAAAAACTATGTAAACTGAGGCCTCACTGTCCCTGCAGACTGAAAGACAAAACCTGCAGGTGCTAAGAAGCATTCCTTCCCAACTGCCTGGTGTGAAGACACACTGTCTGAGCTGACCTAGAGAAGAGCACAGGTGTGACTCAAAAACCCCAACTCCAGCACCCCAGGGGCCTGCCTCAGACAGAGGCAGGAGCAGCTCCCTCCATTGCAGGAGACTAACTTACTTTCCAGCCTGAATTCCCTCCCAGGTTGAGGAGAGCTTGATGAGGATTCTGTCCTTGCTGATCCCAGCTTCTTTGTAAAGTTCGATGAGACGCCTGGCTCGGGCCACCATAGCATCCTTATCAAAGGAAAGCCTGTAAAAGCAAGGGGACCCCAGGCCCTCAGATCACGTAGGGTATAAACCAAGGGAGTATGTCAGGAGTGGGATGCCTCTAGCTGAGTGTTCTTTGGGCAAACCCTTCCCACCCCTCCTCTGGACTTAAACTTGAGGCCCAATCTTAGAAACAGGCCTAGTACCCTAACCTTGTAACCAGCACTTGGGAGGCTGAGGCAGGAGAACCAGCAGTTCAAGGTCAGCCTCAGCTACAAGAGACACTGTCTTGGGGTTCAAGAGATGGCTCAGCTTTTAAAAGTCACTTGCAGGGGATCTGTGTTTGGTTCCCAGCACCCACATCGTAGCTTACAACCATCTATAGCTCTAGTTCAGGGCATAAGATGCCCATTTCTGGCCTCCACAAGCACCAGGCACACACATGGTGCACATATATACAAGTAGGCCAACACTCATACACATAAATCTTTAAACCATGACTGTGGGGCCTCTCAGGGGCAAACTACCTGCTGAGCCACCAATGCTACTAGGGGACCTGCTGCCTCCCCACCCCACCCTACCCTACCAACCTCGCATCTACTTCTGTAGAAACACGACCTGGAATCTTCTTTAGTATTTCTGCCCCAAACAGCACAAAAAGTTTATCAATAGCATTTTTAATTTGTTCCTCTTGTGGCCTGAAATTCAGAGGAAAAAAGTTGGGTTAGAAGTTTCTAGTGCTTTGTGGGAGCCTACAACACACACTCTGACCCCTGGCCAGATTTCTTCCCTTCCATCCCTTTCGCTCTCTACAGTACTGCTTTGGTCAGGCACGACAGCACATGCCAGAAACCCTGCACCAGGAAGGTGGAAGCCGGAGAGCTCCAAATCTGAGGTCAGCCTGGGCAAGGAAGGAGAAGTTAGGAAAACCCCAAGCAACCAGTTTTAGGAAAAACAGCCACACCACAAAACCATACATCCTCAGCACATTCAAGGTACTGGGACTCACAGCACCGCCGTCTTCAGAACTTTCTCATCTCAGACTGAACTCTTTATCTTTTGGCATGTGCTTAAAATTACATTTTTATGCAGCCCCAAGAAATGATATGCACTGAAGGATGGCAAGAGGCCCATCATTCTGATTTGATCAAACACATTATACACATGTATCAAATTGTCACACTGTACCCCTAAGTATGAATAATCACTATATAAAAGTAGTTTACACTTATGGCCTATGTGATAATCTGGAAGAGGTAAAACTATAGGAACAAGAAGGACTAGGGAGGCCAGCATGGTGGCACTGCCTGCAATCCTAGCACTTGGCAGGCTGCAGCAGACTGCAAGTTCAAGGCTAGCCTGGGCTACATAGTGAGACTGTTTCAAACAGGATTTGGAGACCTGAGGACAAAGAAGAGGAGGTGGAAGCAAGGTGACCGGGAGGTGAAGGTGACGTCACCCTCAACTATGAGTTCAAGGGTGGTTTGGGCAACATGAAACTCAAAAATGAAACAAACAAAACAAGCTAGGTAAGGTGGCTCACACCTTCAATCCCAGCACTCAGGAGGTAGAGGCAGGTAGACCTCTGGTCTACAAAGGGAGAAGGGCAGGGAGGGGCTAGAGAGATGCTTTGGTGGTTAAGAACACTGGCTGTTCTTGCAGAGGACTTAGGTTCGGTTCCCAGCACCCATATGGAAGATCACAACCATACCAGTTCTAGGGGAGCCACAGGTACTACACACATATGGTACACTTACATACAGGCAAAACACCCATACACATAAAACTAAAAATCAAGAAATGGGAGTGGAGAGATGGCTCAGAAGGTAAGAGCACTGGCTGCTCTTGTAGAGGACCTGGATTAGGTTCCCAGCACCCACATGGCAGTTAGATGCACACACATGGTGCACATATATACATGGTAACTGTACATGGTACACCTGTAACTCTAGTTCCAGGGGATCTGATGCCCTCTTCTGGTCTCCAGGGGCACCTGCACTCATGTGTACAATTCCCCCTTCACATGTACATAAAAGACCAAAAAAGAAAAAAGATTAAAAAAGGAGGCCAGTGAGATGGCTCAGTGGGTAATGGAGTCTGACAACCTGAGTTTGATTCCCAGGCTCCACAAGTTGGGAGAACTGACTCCCAAAAATGTTGTCCTCTGAATTCTATGCACGTGCTGCGGTGTGTACACACACACACACACACACATGTACACACATACACGCACACAAAATTTAATTAAAAAAAAATTTCAAGAAAGGGGCTGGAGAGTTGACTTAGCAGTTAAAAGCACTTGCTGTTTTTGCAGATGACCCAAGTTCAGTTCCCAACACACACACACACACACACACACACACACACACACACACTCAATTTTTTTAAAACTCAAGAACATTCTGGGGGGCTGGAGAGATGGCTCAGCAGTTAAGAGCATTGGCTGCTTTTGCAGAGGACCTGAATTCGATTTCCAGCACCCCCATGGCAGCTAACAACCATCTATAACTCCAGGTCCAAGGAAATTCGATGCCCTCTTCTGACCTCCAAAGGCACTGCACAGCACTTACATACATGCAGGCAATACACTCATACACATAAGAAATAATAAAGAAAGAACATTTTGGAAAGTGATGTGTTCTAACAGTGGATCTGATGGTGGCTGTGCCAATGCACAATTTACTTAGAATTCGCCTGGCATGGCTGCAAGAGCGAGGAGCTACCACAGAGGCAGGACCCTAGAGTAGGGCCATGAACGCTCTTATCACAGCTGTGTACTCACACTTGTGAGGCTGAGTCATATATTCACAATGGGAGTGCTTTACTCCACACAAATCATGTCAATGAACAAAACTGCACTAGCCAGCTGGGAGCATGGCCAGCTAGAGGATGGACCCAGCATGACCTGCAGGGCTCCAGGCACTCACCCGCCCAGCTTCTTGCCATAGGCAATGGCCTCCTCCACCAGTTCTTGGTAAGCAGGCATCTGTGCTGCAGCCAGGATCAGAGACGGGTTGGTGGTGGCATCCTGGGGCTTGTATTCATCAATGGCTAGGGAAATAAGTTTCAAAAGTAGGTGGGATAGTTAATTTTGATTGTCAGCTGGGCAGGACTGAGAAGCTAGTTCAGAGAGAATTAATTATGGGGAGTCCTGAGTATGGACAGTATGGACAGTATGGCCCATAGCCAGAGGCGTTCTCTGCCTCACTGTGACCTCCCCACCAAAACCGACTGAAACTATGGGTCAAAAGAAACCACTCCAGCCAAGTGTGGTGGCACATGCCTTTAATCTCAGCACTTGGGAGGCAGAACCAGGTGGACGTCTGTTAGTTCAAGGCTAGCCTGGTCTACAGTGAGTTCCAGGCCAGCTGGGGCTACAGGGAGATCCAGTCTTAAAAAACACAAAAACAAAGCCGGGCGTGGTGGCGCACGCCTGTAGTCCCTGCACTTGGGAGGCAGAGGCAGGCAGATCTCTGTGAGTTCAAGGCCAGCCTGGTCTACATAGTGACTTCCAGGACAGCTGGGGCTTATAGGGAGACCCTGTCTCAAAAAAAAAAAAAAAAAAAGACCAAAAAAAACCCAAAAAACAAAAACAAGCAGGGCGTGGTGGCGCACACCTGCAGTCCCAGCACTTGGGAGGCAGAGGCAGGCGGATCTCTGTAAGTTCGAGGCCAGCCTGGTCTACATAGTGAGTTTCAGGTCAGCTGGGGCTACAGGGAGACCCTGTTTCAAAAAGACAAAAAACAAAACAAAACAAAAAAAACAACCCAAAAAGAAATGAAACCACTCCTCCCTTACATCATTCTTAACCTGACACAGCAGGAATGTAAGCAGAGCGCCTGAGTCCACCTGAGATGGAGGCATGCCCTGTGACAATCCCACGCAGAACACAGTGACATGACTCACAGCAGCTCCAAGAGGCTGACACAAGGTGGTTGTTCAACCCTAGGCACCCGAGCTGGGCACAGTGGCACAGCCTACAAGCCTGGCATTCTGGAGGCTGGGGCAAGATGACTGAGTTCAAGGCCAGCCTGAGTTATAGAGCAGTACACTGTCTCAAAAATCCGAAGAGTTGGAGGCCATCCAGGCCTACATAGTGAGACCCTGTCCCCAAAGAAAAACAACAGTAACAACAAAATCAAACAAGACTAGGTGCCCCAGAGCAACTGCTCCTCCAGAAAAGCCGATTTTTAGTGTCTAGGGACTGAAACATGCTGGTTCCGGAAGCCACAAATTTCTACTGCTCAATATCCACTAGGAGCCTAGATCACTGACAGATGCCTGGACACTGCCACCAGCTTCAACTCTAGACACATTTAGAGAGGCCAAAAAGACCTGACCTGGACCCCATCAGCTCAGCTACCCAAGTGAATGGACATGAGCAGATCAGGCACACAGTCACGGATGTCCACCTGTAGAGCCTGGAGGGCACCTGTTGGCTTGGCTCCCGACTCCGAGCTACATAGCCAGATCTTATGTAGCTCCAGTTGGCCTCAAACCTGCAATCCTCCTGCCTTGGTCTCCCCAGTGCTGGAATTACTACACCCAGCTTTTCTTTTTAAACTTTTATTATTTTTATTTTGTGTATATAATGTATTGCCTGCATTTAAGTGCATTCATGTCCTGCAATGCCCTCGGAGGTCAGAAGGCGGTGTTGGATCCCCCTGGAACTGGAGTTATGGACGACTGTCAGCCGCCATGTGGGGGCTGGGAATTGAACCCAGGTCTCCTGCAAGAGCTGACAGTGCTCTTAACCACTGAGTCATCTCTCTAGCCCCTTAAAGTATCTTTTTGAGGACAAGAACAAGACAGCTCTGTGTCTGACTGCCATGGTGCTAAGATGAGCCTTCAGTGTTACGAAACTGCTGCAGAGATAACCAGAGCAGGCGGGAACTCCACTGCACTGTTTGGAGATCACAGCTCATGCTAGAGTCTGTTTCTTGATTTGGACATCACTAAGGAAACTGGGTGAAGGATTCATGGGTTACTTTTGCAACAACTCTAAGTCTGTAGCTATTTCAAAATAACAAGTTAGGAAAAATGTGCTCTGGAGTGGTGCTGTCTCAGGTGTTGCAGAATCCCCTTCATTGTATAAAACTACAAAGCCAGCCAGGCATGGTGGTACTTGTCTTTAATCCAGCACTTGCGAGGCAGAGACAGGCAGATCTCTGAGTTCCAGGCCAGCAAGACTTACATAGTGAAACCCTGTCTCAAAAAACCAAAACAGCCCCGTGGTAGAACCCTTATTGAGTGCTCTATCTTCCCCGGGCTGTATCCCCAACACTAACACACACACAAGGGCTTCAGGGTCCAAAGAGATTTAGATTCAGCATCAGAACTTTAATTCCATTTTCAGGAGCTTATGGCCCCCAGGGGTTAAGAAAATACCACAAAATACACACCTCAAATCTGTTGTACTATTTATAATGACTTAACTTATATTATCTATACTATCAATGAATGTACTTTTAAATAAAGTTGTCAATATTCATTTTTAAAACTTAGTACTTGGGGCTGGAAAGATGGTTCAGCAGTTAAGAGCATTAACTGCTCTTGCAGAGGACCTGGGTTTGACTCCCAGAACCTACATGGCAGCTAACAACCGTCTGTAATTCCAGCTCCAGGGGATCCGATGCCCCTTTCTGACTTCCGAGGGCACTGCATGACACCTACATGCAGGCATTAAAATTATACACATAAAATGAAAATAAAATATTTTTTAAATAGTACTTGGCTGGGCATGGTGGCACAAGGCTTGTAATCCTAGCACTCAGGAGGCAGCGACAGGGCGATCAGGAGGGATTTCAAGGCCACCTTTGACTACAAGTTCATGGCCAACCTGGACAACATGAGACACTGACTCAAAAAAATGGGATTCAGAGAGAAAGAGGACTCAGAAGCTGCACTTGCACTGCTCCCCGCCCCCCTTTTATTTGAGACAGGGTCTCACTATGTAGGCTGGCTTTGAACTCAGAGACCTACATGCCTCTGCTTCCTGAGTGCTAGGATTAAAGGTGTGCGCCCCCCCCCCCTGCCAACAGTCATTAAAAAAAAAAAAAAAAAAAAAAAAAAAAAAATCAGAACTTGGGAGACTTCTAAAAATAGTGATACTAGCCAGGCATGGTGACACACACTTTTAATCACAGCACAAGGGAGGCAGAGGCAGGAAGATCTCTGTGACTTTGAGGCCAGCTGGGACTACAAGGAAATCCTGACTCGAAAAAACAAAAAACAAAAACAAAACAAACAAAACAGATACTTCCTCAAGTTCCTCCTCTTGTGTCCTTAGGAAAATCCAGAGTGGCCCTGCACTGTCAGAAGCTGTGACAACAGGTTGTGCTCTCCTTCTGGACAGCCAGTAAAAACTGGTACAGACAAGGCTCCCTTCCACACCACCTCTCTCTATAAACTATTCTCAGCACTACTCAGGGAGGAAAACAGGGTCAGAAACAAGTGTAGCCAATTCTCTGGCAGTCTATGTAATCTGGTAAGGTCTGTACTACACCACAGGTAAGAAGGACCTCAGGGGGCTGGAGAGAGCTCATCAGTTAAGAGCTCTTACAGAAGATTCAGACTCGGTTCCCAACACCCACATCAGGTGGCTCACAACCACTTGCAACTCCAGTTCTAGGGGATCCAATGCCCTCCAACCTCTGAGGACACTTCTAGGTACATGATGCACATAGACGCAAGCATACACATAACTGAATGGGAGGATGCCCCAAGGCTCCTAGCTCAATCTCTGTTAGTTCTCTGACCAAGCAAATGGACAGGTTTGCTACTACACCCAAGGTGAGTCCCCTTCCTTTATATTTAAGCAACCCAAATATGCCTAATCACTCTGAGGCTCCGCGAGATAAACAATACGCTTACTCAGTCAGGAGGAATTTAAGCCTGTTTCTCAAGTCACCGTGAGAAAGCAAAAAAAGGGAAGGTACTTTTGTGCCGGGCAGACCGCGTATTTCCTCAAAGTCCCAGTCTCGCAGCAAATGTGAATCGGCTCACCTACAAGACTGAGAACCAGACTAACCACGCAAGCCTTTCCACTTCGGTCTTTCAACGCTCTGAAGACCAGGAAAGTCTGAGTTCTGGTGCTGGGCGTGGTGGCATGGCATAATACAGCACTTAGTGGCTAAGGCAGGAAGATTACCATGAGTTCAAGGTCAGCCTGGGCTACGTGGTGAGACAGTGTCTCAAAAGCAAATAAAACCTGGGGCTGGAGAGATAGCTCAGCGGTTAAGAACACTGACTATTCTGGCAAAAGATCGGGGTTCGAATCCCAGCACCCCACATGGCAGTTAACAGCTGTCCATAACCCCAGTTCCAGGGGATCTGACAGCCTCTTTTGTCCTCCGCGGGCACTGCACGACACGGGTGCACTTACCTACACGCAGGCAATACGCGCACACACATAAGATAAAAATGAAAAAAAAAATTTAATTAAAAAAAAGAAAATTTGCGTTCTAACAACAGGACAACCCTTTGCTTCAGTGTGTGCATCTGGTCGGACTCCAGACCAACTTGGCACTGGCCACACTCACCAGATGCCACCCTGGAAGGCCAGTGCAACAGGCTGCAACAGCAGGTGGTGCCCAAGCCCCTATCCCGCCCTGCAGACTGCACCCGCCCCTAAACTGGCTGGACGCCTGGGCTCGGAAGGGCTCCCCTTAAAACGTGCGCAAGGAGGTCCCGGGGTGGCCGGGAGCCCGGAGGCCCGGGAGGGGTGCTGAGAGTGCGGCTGACCCGCTGGCCCCGCACTGGCCCCGGCACTCGCGAGGCTCCGCCCCGGGCACCCACAGCACTCCGCGTCCCCGAACTGGGGGCGCGCAGGTCGCGGAGGGCGCATGCGCCGCGTGGTCGCCAGTTCCGAGTCCCCTCACCGTGGAAGTCACCCGTGTCGGCCACCACGGTAGTGAACTGCTTGAGCTGGTCCAGGGAGGACTCCATTCTCTGACGCTTAACCGGAGACCCCGACATGGCGAGTCGCGAGCAGGCGCGGCGGCAACAAGAGTGCGGCGACCCACAATACCCCGCGCGCCTCTACCAATCGGAGCAAGGATAGGCGAGACCACGCCCTCACACGCAGTGCCCCGCCCCCAGACGCGAGGTCCGGCCCGCGTCGTCCCGCCCATAGCTGAGGCCCACCGAGGCCCCGCCCCTATGCCGGGAGCCTCGCGGCAGCCACCCCCTGCTTCCTGGATGGCTACAGTGAGGGACAGTCGCCCCCTTAGAGCTCGGCCGCGACGCCGAGACTGGGCTGCAGACCCCTGCCTGCGCCCCTCGGCCTGCGGCTGGGTGGGACTCTGCAGCCCGACGTCCTGCGCACCCACCGAAGCGGGCACCTAGGAGTGCGCCCTTGTCTCCATCCGAGTGTCCGCTGCTGGGTAGCTTCCTCGGGGCCTGGAGACCTCGGGCGCAACCCCCTCCTCGCAGTGGGACCCGGAGAGGTGCGTCCCCTCCTTGCCCTCCCTGACCCTTGATTTCGAATCTGTCCCAAATAAGTAGCAGGTTGGGATTGGGGGCTGTCTCTTGCAAGTCAGTAGTGTCTCTTTGTACTATTACTGACTTCTCATATTGCGCATATACTGGATTAAGATTTTCCTCAGATGTTTATTTTGTAGAGATTTTCTCCCAGTATTTGCTGTACCATTTATTTTTCTCAGCTTTTTTTTTTTTTTTTTAATTTGGGTTTTGTTGTTTCGGAGAAGGGTTGAGAGACAGGGTCTCATATATCAGTCTGGCCTTGAACTCCTGATCCCAAGTGCTGCATTTACAGGTACTCCTCACCATACTTGGCTTCAGCTCACTTCATCAGTTTCAAGTTGACTGGAAGATAGACTTTTCCATGGTGACACCAGTTGCCCTAGAGGCCATCTCTGGGGACTGACTGGCTAGATATATGGGGTCACTGGCAGGCTGGGTACCTATTGCTTCATCTGGATAGCCTTCCAGGCAATGGCCGTGAGCTTAGAGCATCTTAGTCAGATTCCCTGTGAATACTGCTGATGACTCTGTGCTGTAACCACAAGGCTAGAACCTTGGCCGCAGCAGCCCCAACAGGCTGGTCTGAGTCACCTGTTTGAAATGCCAGTTAAAGAGACAATGATAAAAAGCTGAGAGGTGAGATTTCATCCAGTGGAAAGAGAAACAGGGGTTCATTGACCTCAAGTTCAGCTTCAGGATACTGTCGTGAAATTAGGTTTAAGTAGAGGAGGCATGGCAACGAAGGGCAAGAGGCATGCATCAGGACGCAGTCCTGGTCTGCATGTGGTCTGGTTGCTCACTGGTCTCAATTCTGGTAGTCTAAGAGGTTATCTCCACTGCTTTTGAGGAGCAAAAGCACAAGATAGTTACTTCCAGGACACAGCCTCAACATCATAGATAAATAACCTTACTAGGGTGGTGGTCTGCCTTTCAAAGCTATGATGACTTCAGGTTTAGGAATGTCTTCAGCCCTGAAGGAGGATGGGATGGGTTGGGTAAGCAGACACTCTCTCCATAAGTGATTCACATACCTGTACTGAGTAAAACAGGAGTCTGACCGAAAGTAGAGGAACCAGACACACACTGAAGGCAGAGGTGCCAGGCTTTCATCCTGGGTTTAATTACTTCGTGGATCCAAGTAAGAAGTCAGTGCTTTTTAGAAAAAGTTTCTAAGTGCCTGTTACAGCACCTCCACCTGCCCAGGATCTATTGGGAAGTTTTTGTTCTTGTCGCTTTGTATGGTGTATGGCTACTGAATCTGCACCTTACATGAGAAGAACCAGGTTCCCAGACTGGCCTCCCAGGCCTCAGCAGCAGTCAGGCAACATACAGTGCTCATAGTCGGACAGGAACCACAAAAGCATCTGCCAGGTAAACAAATTTTTTGTCTGAGGGGCTTTGGTCAAAGGTGAGACAATTAGGCTTTAGACTGTCTGCCTAGTAAGGGAAGTATCCAGGAAAGATGCACACCCACCTAGATCCCCTCAGTCACCTGTTTCAGTACTAGCTAGAGACAACTTGTGGTGAAAAGCAGGAAAGATTTCCTTAACACTAGGAAATGGGTTACCAGTGGCCACGGCACTGGGGCCCCTCAAAACAAGGATCTGAGGAAATTTGGGGTGATGGAGTGCTCAAAATCTAAGCTTTATTTCCAGCATGGCCCTGGCTGACAGCATCAGCCGGGATGTGCTGAATGTCCCTTCCCAGGCCTTCTGTGCAGCCACCTGTGGGGTGGCTACAGGCTGCTGGGCTCGGGTGGCTGTTCACTGTCTTTCTGAGGTAGAGGCGCTCCAGGGCAGTTGTCCACTTTGTCCAGCGTGCATTCTACCACACAGAATTTTAAATGAGCAAATGAAAACTCAGCTCAAAGCACCTGCTTAGCCATCATTGTTATCCCCGACTCTCCTGGCTAGCAGGTGATAGACTGTTGTAGAACTCTCTTCTCCTAGCACGAAATGGCCATTGCCATCTTGAAATTAGAGCAGCTATGATTATCTCCATAGGACTCTCTCAAGATTGGGTCCTGTTAACGTCCATAAGGGGAGGGTGTACCTCCATTGATCTCTCCTGTTCCCCTCCCAGCAGCTCTTGGTCTCTGGAGGTGCTAGAATACTAGCAGGCGAAGGTTAATACAGGTAGAACTTCACCTGTGCAGCTTTCAGGACGCCATCACTGCTGGGGTGGGCCTGTCGGTGATGCAGCTGTTTGAGTCACGCACACTCCTGTACATAATCCCTCACCCATTCTCCTGTAAGACCAATACACTCATTTGTTCACCAAGCTGGACTTTGATGTGATAGTTCCCTTGGTCTGTTGTCAGTGCCCTATTTGAGGTGAGTGGGTATTTGTTCATGTCGGGCAAGAGAGAGAATTTTTGCCCTGGGGGGTGCTAAGCAACATCTACCTCCTAAGGTCCCAAGGATGTACCAAAATCCAATTTTGCTGGTAACCAATGACTTTATTTGGTTTAATTACAGAGCCTCAGTAAGAGGTTACGAACAGAAGCAGTGACCCAAAGCAGCCGTGCTGGAAAGTCTGTACCCCGCATGGATGATGCTTCCCATGGCTGCACAGATGGATCCCAGTTTCTATAATCTTCATCAACCCCTCCCTGAGACCCTAAGGCTTGTGCAGTTAGGGGAGAATTGCATACTAGTTGGAAGGAGTGGCTGGATATTCAGGTGAGGGTCCCATGACCCTCCCCACCCCTTCTTCTATGAGGGAATGCCTACAATCAACAAGCCCAGCTGGGATGGTCTTTTGCTAACAGGCCCATCTGCTCTGATGGAGATGGTGGCTGTGTGGCTCGGGATAATACTGTACATCACTTTGTCTTCAGAAAAAGTCACACAACACTTGCTATCCAGCCGGGCACAGCAGCATCAGAGATGGGTCTAGGAGGATCAGTTGTGTTGCTCCTGCCATGAAGGGTTAGACGTGCAGCTGAAGCTAATCCATCTGAGGGTGGAGCATCTGGGAGGGGGTGGCCCAACCCTGGTGTGGCCATCCTTCTCCATTGTATGGTGGGATGGCGTGCCTCCTCGCTGTGGTAGCAGTTGCAGGTGATAAAACACTGAACTGAACCAGGCGTGGTGGCGCACGCCTGTAGTCCCAGCACTTGGGAGGCAGAGGCAGGCGTATCTCTGTGAGTTCAAGGCCAGCCTGGTCTACATAGTGAGTTCCAGGACAGCTGGGGCTTGCAGAGAGACCCTGTCTCAAAAAGACCAAAAAAAAAACAAAAAAAAAACCACAACTGAAAAACACACGTATAAGCCAAGTATGGTGGCTCACACCTATAACCCCAGCTTTTAGGAGGCTGAGACAGGAGGATTGCCACAAGTTTGAGGCCAGTCTGTACTATATAATGGATTCCAGGCTGGCCTGAGACACAGTGTGAGGGCAGTCTTCTTCCTCTACTTGATATGAGGTGACATGCTTCTTAATGAATGGGTCCACCACACAAGTACAGGAATGGTCCCCAAACTGTTGATAGACTAGAGAATATATTGCAATCCCTGAAACACTGTGGACAGGACAGGGTCACCGGCTCTGGTATCTGTCCTGTAGCCTTTACTATGGGTGATAAGACTTGGAACTGAGGTTCAGCTGTTTGCCCAGAAGCAACTTGATAGTGTAAGGGCAGAATTAGGAAAAAGACACACTGTCCTCCACACTAGCCTCTCAACGGGTAGGAAATTGTGTGTGTGTGTGTGTGTGTGTGTGTAAGTGTTGGCTCTGCTTCTTATGACTGAGGGTGACATCACGGAAAGAGTACAAATTAAATCTGCACTAAAGAGCCCCTCCTGGGATTAAAAAACAAAGAACTCAGGGACTTGGACAGTGGTGGTTGGGGGTGGGGCAAGTTTGAGGAGATAGAAGACAGCCCTCAGGTCTAACCCTGATGCGCAGATGGGATCCTTAATTATGGCGCAGTACAGGACACCGATTATCAGGAATACCCTGCATCTGAGCTGCTTGACTCGGGGAAGACTTAAACAGGCAGTGGAGGAGCTTTCCACAGCCTGGCTCCTGAGACTGGGATTTTGGAGGTGGAGCTGGATCAGTCTGAGTGGCACGGAAGAAGAGAAACAGAAATATTTCTATCCATCCCTTAGGACAGAGGCTGCTTAATCAGAGACAATCTGAGGGAAATCAGGCCCTGATGGACTGGATTATTCAAGCCATTAGGGACACTTAGCTATAGCTGGCTGAGGTCCCCATGAATACTGGAGACGAGGACAACAGGGGAAGGGCATTCCTGAGGGAGTGGAGCATGAGAGAGGTGGGTCAATGCCCATTTCATCAGGCCAGAAGGGACTGTGTTCTTTGGAGAGTTAAGAAATAAGTTGATTCAGCAGGGACCTTGGGACTGGCTTGGGGCTTTGGTGGCTTTGCTGAGCCCTAGGATAGGACTGGACCTTCACCAGGTAGGAGAGGCACTGTTGGATTTGAATGACTTAGATTAGCATGGAAATCAGGTTTGTTCAGTGCAAAAGAGAAGCGGGTAATGGGGCCTGTTCAAGTCACAGGAAAGCAAGCTCTGTGTTGAGCTGGAGTTCTTAGGGGGAAAAAATTGACAGGAAGCCAAATGCTGTGTTGGTGAACTTCCAGAAGTTGTTTATTTGTTTGCTTGTTTCAAAATGAAGCCTCAGCTGGGCATGGTAGCGCACGCCTTTGATCCTAGCACTTGGGGAGGCAGAAGCAAGGTGGGTCTCTGTGAGATTGAGGCCAGCCTGGTCTACATAGTAAGTTCTCAGCTGGCTGTGGCAATGGAGAGTCCCTGTCTCCAAAAGACCAATAAATAAGTAAATACATAAATAAACAATAAATAAGGGGCTGGGGAGATGGCTCGGTGGTTAAGAATATTCGCTGTTCTTCCAGAGGACTTGGGTTTCAGTCCTATCACCCACATGGTGACTAACAGCCATCCAAGGGAATCCAAAACCCTCTTCTGGCTTCTGCAGAGCATTCCATGCACGTGGTGCACTTACATACATGCAGTTAAAAATACAAATAATGAAATAGGCCAGGCAAGGTGGCACACGCCTGTGGTCCCAGCACACTGGGAGGCAGAGGCAGGCAGATCTCTACGAGTTCAAGGCCAGCCTGGTCTACATAGTGAGTTCCAGGACAGCTGGGGCTACGGGGGAGACGCTGTCTCAAAAAGACAAAAAAAAAAAAAAAAAAAAAGCCTCAACAGCAGTTTACCAAAGAAGTGCTGGGGAGTCCCACTGTGCCCACTGCTGCAGAAGCAGATGATGCTGTGGGGTGGTAACTGCCCCAACAACTTTCTTAAACAGAGTAGCTAAAATTACTTGTAGGGCAAGCACAGGCTGCACATTGAATCAGGGAGTTACTGGTCCTCTATGTACAGGACTTGGGTGGATGCTGGGGTCAGCTGTGCCTTGGTTCCTGGCAGCATCCAGAAGCATCTGTGGAAGGGCAGGAGTGGACAGATGTGGAGATGGAGCAGTACCCGTGGAAAGCACTGTGCTTGTCCTAGGGATGGGCAGTTATCTCCCCAGAATATTCTGGAGATTGTTGGCACAGCCTGGGGTCCTTTCAGTAGCCAAGTGTGGCTGACTCAGAGCTTGTTAAACCCAGACCAGAGCAGGACCCTGTTCTCTCCCCCAGGCAAAGCAGTGATAGCTAACCCTGCCAGACTCCTCAGACGTAGAAAGTTGCACAGTGCCCCAGAATGAGGATGCAGAATGGCTTATGGAGAACACTGTGTGTTACATAGAGCTAGATAAAGTAATGCCACTCACCCACACACTGAAGAAACAGTTGATAGAAAAAATAGGATTTTTTTCATGCTGTATTTGCACCTTGCTAGTAGTTTCTGTTGTGGTTTGTCTAGGTTTATTGTTGTTTTCCCTCTTAGCACTGACTCCTGAGACCGATTGACTCTTTCTCAGAATGGACATTGGGACCTTCAGAGAGTCTGCCTACCCTTATGAAAAGGTTTCGTTATATAATGCTAACCTTCTTACAGATTCAGAAAAGCATCTGAAAGATGTTCAAGCACTTAAAGAAGTGAGACTGGAGGTCGGAGAGTGGCCCAGTGGTTAAGAGCACCTACTGCGCTTGCAGAGGACCCAGATTTGGTTCCCAGCACCCAAGTCACAACCACTTGTAACTTGAGAGGATCCAGTGCCTCTGGCCTCCTCAGACACCTGCACTCACATCCACATACATACATGCAGACACATCCACATACACATGATTAAAAATAATAAAATAATCTTTAAAAAAGATGAGACCAGAGTGGTGGAACATGCCTTTAATCCCAGTACCCAGGAGGCAGAGGCAGGCAGAGCTCTGTGAGATCAAGGCCAGCCCCATTTACAAAGCAGTTCCAAGTCAGATGGAGCTTCAGGGAGACCCTGTTTTGAAAAATTAATTAAAAATTTAAAAATTGGATAAAATCTTTTAAAAATATTTTATTATTTTTATTTTATGTGTATGCATGTATTGCATACATGTAGGTGAGTGCACCCATGTCATGCAATGCCCTCGGAGGTTAGAAGAGGCCATCGGATCCCCTGGAACTGGAGTTATGGACAGTTAGCTGCCATGTGGGTGCTGGGATTCGAACCCGGGTCTTCTGCAAGAACAACCAGTGTTCTTAAATGCTGAACCATTTCTCCAGCCCTGAATAAAATCTTTTAAAAAGAACTAAGGATGGGCACTCAGTCCATACAAGGTGCAAGGGCCAGATACAACTATGCAGTTCTTGGGATTTTTATGGTTGGGTAAGGTGCGGCAGTATTAGACAAGGTGATTGTTAAAATGGTACAGTATAAACATTAAAACAATGATTAAAGACTTTGAACAGCCAGGCATAGTGGCACATGCCTTTAATCCCAGCACTCGGGAGGCCAAGGCAGGTGGATCTCTGTGAGTTCAAGGCCAGCCTCATCTACATAGTGAGTTCCAGGCCAGCTGGAGCTACAGGGAGACCTGTCTCAAAAAGACCAAAAAAAAAAGGAGTTTGAACAAAGGTACCCTTTGTGGATGCAAAACAGCACTCCCAGAAGCCATTAGGTTATTGAATGAAAATCCCAGTACCAGAAATGAATTACCTCTTTATGAGCTGTTGGCCAGAGAGGTCCTTTGGGCCCCCCAAACAATACAGGCTATTGTCATTGCTGCTGGTTGCATGCCAGAATTCGATGGTGAGTCCCACTTGCTGAAGACACTGCTCTGCCTGCTTTGGTGCAGGACATGGAGTGATCAGGCTGAGGCTGAGCTTGAAGCTTCCCTCCCTTCCAGCTGGCATTTAGAGTGCCAGGAAGAGCCATGAAAACTGCTAGGAGGGAGGTTTCATCAAGGTCCTGCTCAGCTACAGACACAGCATGCCAATGCTATTAGCATGCCAGGCAAATGTGCCAGCTGGTGCAACAGTGGCACGGTTGTTATGGTCGCAAACAAGTACTTTCCAATTGAATTTAAGGCCAGCTCCATAGCAGGGGACCTGTGTGTTTAAAAAAAAAACCTGTGGAACTTGTGATGCTACTGTGGAAGCCACTGCTGTTGTTTTACTAAAAGAGCATGAGTATCTACAAAATTGGCTGCAAACTTTTCTGATGGCTCAGTGGTTAAGAGCACTTGTTGCTCTTGAAGAGGACCTGGGTTCAGTTCCAAGTACCCACATTGTACAGCTCACAACTGCCTGTAACTGCTGCTCTAGGAATCCAGCATCCTCTTCTGGCTTCTGCATGCACTGTACTCATGTGACGCTCATACTGACAAGCAGGTAAACACACATATACATAAATAAAAGGTAAATTAACAAATTTTAAGGTCATAAAATGTTTAAATTCTTGGGGCTGGAGCGATGGCTCAGCAGTTAAGAACACTGGTTGCTCTTGCAGAAGACCCAGGTTTGAATACCAGCACCCACATGACAGCTAACGACTGTCCATAATTCCAGTCCCAGGGGATCCGACAGTCTCTTCCGACCTCCGAGGGCATTGCACAACATGGGTGCACTTACATACATGCAGGCAATACATGCATACACATAAAAATAATAATAAATTTTTAATTAAAAAATTTGAACTCATGTTTATCTGCATAGATTATTGCTTCTATGGACCTTAGTCAGGGATGCTGTTTACAGTGAGTGGTAGTTACTTTGGAAATGCATAATCAACCATGCTGAGTGACAGTTACCTAGGCACAACAGTCCAGCGCTCATCCCCAAATGGAGAAGGTAATCCTACACCTGTACCACTCCTCCAAGGCTCAGGTAATCAATCAACCATGCTGAATGACAGTTACCTAGGCACAACGGTCCAGCGCTCATCCCCAAATGGAGAAGGTAATCCTACACCTGTACCACTCCTCCAAGGCTCAGGTAATCAATCAACCATGCTGAGTGAGTTACCTAGGCACAACGGTCCAGCACTCATCCCCAAATGGAGAAGGTAATCTTACATCTATACCACTCCTCCAAGGCTCAGGTAATCAACCATGCTGAGTGACAGTTACCTAGGCACAACGGTCCAGCGCTCATCCCCAAATGGAGAAGGTAATCCTACACCTGTACCACTCCTCCAAGGCTCAGGTAATCAATCAACCATGCTGAGTGAGAGTTACCTAGGTACAACGGTCCAGCGCTCATCCCCAAATGGAGAAGGTAATCCTACATCTGTACACTCCTCCAAGGCTCAGGAAGCATCAGAAAGAAAAGGCAGAAAAATTTTGAGAGCTGGAGAAAGGGGAGTGTTGTGGAACACTGTCCTCCAGGCCTGACGTGGCTGTTGCCACCCGAAATCAGAACATCTGTGATCACCCACAGTGTATTCCTACAAGATTGGGCCTATTAACACTCTCTCATAGGAGTTGGGGGGGGTCACCAGACCCTCAATGAGATTACAGCAGTGAACTCCCCATGTCCCTCCTAGCTGCATGTGACCTGGGGAGGTGCTACAGTGTTAGGAGGTGGAAGGTTAAATAAGATGGGGCCCCATCTATGCAGATTTCAGGAGGTCATCACCCATGCTGGGGTAGACCTTGTCAGTGATGCAGCTGTTTGGGGTCACCCACACTTCTCTAACCCTAATAAACTTACTTGGTTCACTAACCTAAAGTTAGATGGAGTCATTCTTTGCCCTGTCAGGGGTCAATAGATGTCTGTTTACATCTCTTCAGGAAAAGTCATACAGCAAAGACAGAGAATACCCACAGGACTGGGAATGGGCTTGATTGTTGGCAAACAGCACAAATCCCAAGAAGGGGTTGGACTGCTGCTCAGAACCCTCCCACTTTGCACTGTCCCCTTGTGGCCCTGAGTGTGGGGAAGTGAGTCTCAGGGAAGTATAGGCAGATGTCTGGAGGTTTGCCCGTTGCACTTGGGATCACACCGTTACCTTGCAGCCAGCGGGGCCTCAGCAAGCTCTCTATCAGTTTGGGGTGAGCAGAGTTAACAGATGGGTGTGTCCAGCTCTGCTCCTATCCCACCCCCTTTTGTGTGTGAGCATAGAGGGGGAGTTGTTTGTTTTTTTGTTTTGGGTGTTATGTTGGTCTTTTTGAGTCTCCTTATAGCCCCAGCTGGCCTTGAACTCACAGAGATCCTCCTGCCTCTGCCTCCTAAGAGCTGGGATTAAAGGTGTGGGCCACCACATCCGGTGGTGTTTTTTGTTTATTTAAAATATGTATTTTTTTCTAGGGCTGGAGAGATGGCTTAGCGGTTAAGAACACTGGTTGTTCTTGTAGAACACCTGGGTTCGAATCCCAGCACCCACATGACAGCTAACAACTGTCTGTAACTTTAGTCCCGGGGATCCAACAGTCTCTTCTGACCTCCGAGGGCATTGCACAACATGGGCCACTTATCTACATGGGGGCAATACATTCATCCACATAAAATAAAAATAAATAAAATATTTAAAAAATATTTTTTTTTCCATCTTTTTATGTGTATGAGTGTATTGCCTTGCATGTATGTAAGTACACCAGTGTCATGCAGTGCCCACAAATGTCAAAAAAGGACACTGGATTCCCTGGAACTGGAGTTACAGATAGCTGCCTCATACATTGTCAGCCACCATGTGGGTGCTGGGAACTGAACCCGGGTCCTCTGCAAGAGCAGCCGATGCTCTTAACGGCTGAGTCATCTCTCCAGCCCCTGTTTTCTCTGCCACTGCTTCTTCTTTTTATTTTTTTAAATATTTTATTTATTATTTTTATTTTATGTGTATGAGTGTATTGCCTGCATGTATGTGAGTGCACCCGTGTTGTGCAATG